GTTGTGACTTGCAGAGTACTCTGAAACCCTCTTGTACTGGTTGTTGCTGTTGTCATTTTACTTTGGCAGCACCTCTCATGTAATTCGGTATTTCCTGTTGCCATGTTTCATCCTGGAAATAACACCAGACTCAAAGAGAAGGGAAAATCCAGCCGGACCTTAAGTAGGAATGATTTAATTCCTTTCCACTAACTTGACTTGCTCTTGTGAAGGCATTTATCTGTTGTACATGAGTGTTAGGAGTGTCTTAAATAAGCATCTTTAGAAGGAGGGTTTGTGACTGAATTATTGGAGGTTTACAGAGTGCTTTGGAAATCCCTGGAAGGCTGATGTGTGTGGTCCTGGTGATCCAGTGATAATGCCTGTGTTCTTAGTGTGCGTTCCAGATATGTGTCAGTATAATGAGAGAGCATCATCTTTTTTCCTTTTCTCTTTTCCTCATTAAATCAATTTATTTATGGTGCTGGGATAATAGAAGTGATCCCTCATCTGTCTGTCCTGGTTTTTACCTTTAACCATGGCCAGATGTTTGCTAGGAGGTAAAGAGGACCTGTGAGGAGCAATGACTCTTGTCCCTAGACCATGGGCAACATCCCAGTAGTTCTTCTTACCTCCAACCTACTGAGCTTTTCCTCCTCCCCAAAGTGGTTGGCAGTGCTCTGAGGTCTCCCATCAAACAGTACACATTATTCTCAGGTCTGTTGTTAAGAAATGCTCGTGGGCATTTCTTCTGCTCTGATGTTCCATGGAGAAGGCAACGAGGAACTTTCCTCTTTGCGCTCTTTAGTTTGAGCAACCAGCTGACAAGAAGAATTGATTTTAATGGGAGCTAGGACTCCCACCTGCAAGACAAGCAGTGTTCAGGGTATGTCAAAGCCAAATGTACATTATCACCTACTGCATTTTTTCTGTCTGCCTCCCTCTCCTCCTAAGACACTTTTTGCAAATCCTTATTGTAAATTTTGTGACTTTGGGTGAGCCCAAAGAACATGATATTATTTACAGCAACCTTCACATAGTGAGAAACTGTGTCTGGGAGGGTGTGATTTAAGATTGGACTATTCCTATTGTGATTATTAGTGTTCAACCCAGCTCTTTGTTACCCGTTTTTAATGATGGCCAATTTGTAGCTGGGCTGAATGTGAGATGGTGGAATGTAAACTCCTGCATCACCTAATTAAACACAGAGAAATAGTCATTTCTGGGGCATGATTCACCTCACTTGAAGGTAGACAACTGGAACAGCCGAGGTGAATCATACTCCAGATGTGTCTCTTTCTCTTCCCTGGTGATAAAGGAGTCCACATGCTGCGTGGTATACATTTAATATTACAGGAGACAAGTCCCTTTCACGGTCTTTGGCTGAGTGTGTCTGACCACGGTGCTGAAGTGCAGATTTGAATCCAAGAGATGTGAACTTTTGGGAGTGAAAAGCTCCTATCTTCAATTTGCTCAGAAAATAATATTTCATCCTGACCTTTCTCTAGCTGCTCATCTCTGGCTGCTGCAGATGTCAGGTTCTGTCTCTGTAACCCTGCCCTGCACGAGGCAGACGGCTCCACAGATGCTCAAGATGTCTTGCAAAATAAATTAAACTGGATCTTTTAATTTTAGGCTCTGACATTCTCTCAATGGACCCAGCACGTGCAGTGGCTGGAACTCGGATTCTGCCATCCCACTGTCCTCCTTTCACAGGCTGAACTGTGTCTTTTGGAAGGCCCAGGCTTGCCTGCAGGCTTCTGGCATGTGGACCCCTTCCTTGGACTAAGAATGGACCAGCTGGAAAGGACTGGCTGAAGGGGCCTTTCTTCCCTCTGCTGGCACTAGGCAGTGAAAGACAAGGGCTTAGAGCCTTTCTCCTTGAGTACCAAAAAGCACCTTGCAAAGCAAAGACACTTCAGCTCCTGACCTCCACTGAGAGCATCTCCTAGGTCTCTGCTTTCCTGACTCTGTGAGTCCCTGCCAGCCCTTGCTGCTGGCTGAGCCGGGCTTCTCGGAGCTGGGGTTTTGTGCCTCAGGCTCAGAAATGTGCTTTTGCAAAGTAGGCTCTGAAACACAGTCCCTCTGAAGCTGGGTCCCAGTGACGTTTCTGTGGCAGCTCGTGCCCAGAACTGCCTGTGTGTGAAGTGACAGCAAAGTCTTATGTCAGCTGAAGCAGAAAAAACAGAAATGTGGCTTCTGCGTAATAGCTCTGTTCCTGGTTCATCAGCACTGGAAAATGGGCTGAAATACCCCATGACATTAACAAAAGGAACGAGGGTCAGGCCAACCTGATCTATTTTTTGACAGGAACACTGATTTTCCAGACAAAGACTCTACCTCATTTATTTAAATAAGCTAAATGCAAGATCACAGTGAGCCACTGGTGGGAGGTAGCTATGGGAAAAGGAAGGAGATGTTATGTATTACTGCAGGATTTCTGTGACACTGTAATAACTACTTCACACTATCACAGAGCTGTGGTAAGGTCTCCTTGGGAATAGCATTTGCTGTTCTGGTCATCTGTGTTCAAGAAAGATGCAGGTAAAATATCCGGCTGCTGAAAAGGGCTGGTGAAATGCTCAGGGGAAGGAAGAGCTGTCTACTGAGATGAGGCTGAAAGAGCAGAGCTTGGTCAGCCTGGGAAACCACAGGCTGGACAGTGGCCATAAATACAGCAAGGGGAAACGCTGGTGAAGGAGAAGAGCTCAGTCCTGGCCACAGAACAGATGACTGTTATCTGGTCTTGAATATATTGAAGGGGTCTTCATTCTTTCAGATCTGTCTTCGGGTTCTTTGTGGTTTAATCTGATTCTTATCGATGAAAGCATCTAGAAACCTTGATTTAGAGCAATGAAATGTGTGAGGAAGCACTGAAACATCTCATGATCTAAGGGGGGGTCCCACATCATCTGACTTCAACTGCCACTGGTTTAAATGGGATCCTCTTGCGCCCAGCTCCTTGCAGCTCTGATTCAGAAGCCCAGACATGAGATAACCCCACAGTTGCTACCATCTGCGATAAGATTAGCGCATCAGTCAGGTCCATTGCTTGATTCTTCAATGAGAGGTTGTTATTAACACATGCCTCTGTTTTCTGTCTGCTGTTTGGTGATCTTGTGAGGCAAGAAGTCCTCCATATGAGCCACAAAGAAGCCATATTTCTTTTACAGCTCATTTTGAATCAGAAAGGATGATTTGGCAAAATGGAAGTAGGAAGAACATGGTTTTACTTTACCTACTGCAGGAACAAGAGGGGTCCATTGACTAGATAGGTCTTGGCTTTGAGGATGAAAGGCACTAAGTGTCAAGTTAGGCTCTCTTAGATGGTGCTGCTTTATGTACAACTGACTCTTCTAATTGAATAACTGAAACTGCAGCTGTAATTGTCACAAACCTGAGGAGCTTGAGTTCTTAAAGGAAACCCAGTTCAAGGGAAACAGTGAATCACGTCCTTTAATCTGTTGACTGAATTGCCTGTAGGGACTTGAATGTTCTTACATGTTTGTGCTCCAAACCCTGCAGCAGTGCTAGAAGGTTTCCTGCAAGTTCTTACTGTGCAGGTAGCTATTAGCAGGCACTTCAGTAAGCCAAGCTTATAAAAGAGCTGTTAAGAGCTCTCTAACCATTCCCAGTGCTTTTACACTTGCAAAACCGCTGTGATGGGTTATTGTCTTTATGCTTTGTATTGCTTGCCTAAATTGAATGGATATCTGTGGCTGTTAAAGTCTTGCCATGTGGAGGGTCTGTAATGGTTGCAGTGCTGAGCTCTTTCTTTGTGAGCTGAAATTTGGATTTGGAGGCGAGCCCAAGCACATATTCAGCGAGTCTCAGCAGAATTAATGAACAAGGTTCAGGATGGCTCTGACAAGCTCATAAGCATATGGGTGAAGTCTCTATTTGCTCGGGCAGTCTCACTGTTGAGTGCAGAATTCCTGTGGATGAATCACAAACACAGTTTATTATTCTGTTAAAAACCTATCTGCCTGTCATTCTGAGGAGCAGCGGGTGGCCTAGCGTGCCTGGATGCTTTGTCCTGGGGATGCACAAGCACCAGTGTTTGGATGGGTCCTTCCTGCCAGCGTTAAGTGGGAGTTTGCTGGATAGAAAACTGATGGCTCACAATGAAATGAGAACTGGTGATGTCATGCCATGGTGCTGGCCCAGTAATAAGGTGACTGTATGTGTGGAGAGACGTTCAGGAGGTCCTGTCAGACACAGGTCTGGCCTCAGTCATTGCTCGTGGGCAGGAATCTGCCCCTGGAACACCATTAGGACAGCCAGTGTTGCAGGGTTTCGTGTGGGCAGAGTGATGTTTGAGTGTGCCACGGAGCTGGGCTGTGCTCCAGGTTGGAACAGGTCAGTGGGTGCCACGTGCCCCTTTGTACCTGCTGGGTAGCTTCAAGGTTTCAGAAGCGAGGGATGTCAGTACCTCACATCACCAGCACTGAATAAATATACAACTTTCAGTTTTAAAGAAGAATGTTCTGCATATGTTGACAAACTTTGCTTGGATTTGCATGGAAACCCTTCTGAGCCTCGAGCTGAGATCTGAACCTTTCACTGAGCAACTTGTTCTGGAAGAGAGATTCCCTTGCAGGACTCTGTTGCTTGGTTTTGCCATGTTTGGGACCTCCCAGCTATCCATTACACTAACCAAATTGCATCTGAAAGCCGTGTGCCCTGGTGGATGTGCATGCTCATAACTACATGGTGGTGGCATTGAGAGGGGGGGTGCTGCTGTTCCCATGCATGGGGCTGGGGCCTGAGAGATCCTGAGCATCCACCTGCAGTGCTTGTGTGGTGTGGTTAGGAGCAGAACATTGGTCTGTAGACACTGTCACAGCCTGAACTCCATCATGAAATGGAATAATGGAATGGTGAAATAGTGAAATGGCTCTGGATTGGAATGGAAGAATATTGTTTTCCTTTGGCTGAGTGCTTTTTCTGTGCTGCTGCTGTGCATGTGCTTGTTTTGGGGAACCGAGCTCGTACTGACTGCTGATTTTCTGTTTCCAAAGCTGATCAGTGGTGGTTCTTTTGTAAGTGCTGAGGCAGTATGGGATCACGTCACCATGGCCAACCGGGAGTTGGCGTTTAAAGCAGGAGACGTTATCAAGGTCTTGGATGCTTCCAATAAGGACTGGTGGTGGGGTCAGATCGATGATGAAGAAGGATGGTTTCCCGCCAGCTTCGTGAGGGTGAGTGACTTTCTTCTTTTTACCACTACAATGAAGCACTGCTGAGGCTGCTCAGAACTGTCAGTGAATTGAACTGGTTCCTGTGCTTGTTATCACTGATGCTTGTTCCCAGTGTGTCTGTTTCCTGTGCAAAAATGGGGAGCAAAGAAGGTTTCAAAAGAAATGGGTGTGGGGTAGAGGGGGATGGAATAGATATTGGTGCAGCTTTTCATGCTGGTGGCATATGGAGTGGCTTTTGCTGTCTGTTGTAGCCTCTCTTCTTAAGCAGTTGCTTGGGAAAACATTTTAATGTTGTGTGGATTATGAGTAGATCATTTGGTGGGGCCTACAAGTTCATAGCAGCTCTCAGTGACCTGCATTGGAAGAGCTTTAGCACAGGGAGATGTGAGCACCACCCCCCACAGCCAAAAGCAGTGCTGCTGTCTGACTCTTCAGCACTTTGGGATGTCAAATCACTTCACTGATTAGTCCATAACCAGCTCTGGTTATTTTTGAAGGAGGCAGGGCACCATTTGGCTGGTCTGTGTTTTCCTGCTGGAGCAGGTTTTGCTGTGCCCAGCCACCTCCAGTGGTGATCACAAATCAGACGGGTTTGAGCACTTGCCTTCATTTGCTCAGTATGTGTTAAAAAAGCCAAGGGACAAGAAGATGCCCTTTTTGTTGTCATCAGCTCCCGCCACATGATTTGGGCACTCTCGAGCCTTCCTCAGGCTTTGACCATGTGCATTTCCTTCCCCTTTCCCTTCTGCGCAGGGTTTGATAGGTGAGATCAGAGGTTTAATTCCTCCTATGCTATGGAATAAGAAAATGATGATTTCTTTTGCCCTGTGAAACTGTGAACGATGACTTTCCTCTGAGCCTTCCAGGCAGTTTGACAGGCTTCATAGTGTGAAGAGGAAGACTTCTCTCTGAAACACACACTGAAGACTGTGCTGCATCCCAAGGAGATGCTGTGTTTGCTTTAGGTCTCTGCCTGTCATCGGCCCTGCGTTGGGCAACCCTGCATCATCAGCATCCCTGTTTGATTACATCATTTCATCTGGGAAACAGCCATATGGATTAGGAAAATCGGGTTAAAATGCATCCCCCATGGTACCATGATGCAGCTCTTGTGTCTGTCCATGCAGCTCTTATGTCTGTCCTAGGTCTGACCAGAGCCAAGGGTGATTGATCAGTGACTGGAACTGGAGCCTGGGTTGCCTATGTGAATGAGCTACATAGTTATTCTGGCCCAGAATATCAGAGTGTGTTTAGTGTTTAGTTGAATAGGACGCTGTGGGTCTGACCCTGCAGCCAGTGGAGGCAACAAGTTTGGAAATGGATTTGTATCAGGTGTGATGCAGATGATAATCTCATTGCACAAAATGCTTTTCCCAGTGTCTCTAGCCCATGTCTGTGCTGCTGGCTGCAAAGGCTGAACTGGAAAAGTCTGTGTCTTTATTTTTGCTTGATTTAGAGGCTGAAATATTCTGGGCCAGTTTAACTTTCCAGTGCGTTGACCAGTCCTGTTTTGTTTGTGATTCTGGGGAAAAGATGTTGTGTGATGTTGTAAACATACTGTTCATGGTAGGTGATAACAGCCTTGTTTTGCACTGTCCTGTTTGCTAAATCCCATACCAAACACCTAAACAAACAGCCTGTTTGCTGTGAGGCCCCAAACGGTGCATCATTCAGCTTGGCTGAACTTCCCATCTCTCCCTACACTTTTCAAAGGCTGGGAGGAGGATTTTAGAAACTCGGAAGAACAAAGGAGAGGGATCAACAAATTTGAGACGGTTTTACACAAACGTCTGAATAACATCCTGGAACAAACCTTGCTGCTTAGGATCATCAGGTTTCTTGCCCATTTTGTCTAATGCCACAATCCTGTGGCTTGACTTCATTCCAACAAAATCAGTCCTTCCATCAGCTCTGCAAGAGGCCAGCCTGGTTATTCCATCTCCCTCTGCCCTGACACCAACTGATGCACTCCCAAAGGGGCAACCACATGGTTTTGATGCCGTGAATGATAGTTAATACCTAACACTAAGTCCCAGGCATTCCAGCTATCATGCAAGCAGAATTCTGGCACAGTTTGTGCACTGCTCTGCAAGGAAGGCCGAAGGGGACAATTTGCCACTCGGGTTTATACAGCAGAGCTGATTTCTCCCCGCAGCACTTGTGTGCTGCAGCCCACTCACTGGGTGTCCTGTGCTGAGAAAACAACTGCCATTTGGGCTGTCATGTTCTCCTCCCCTCGCTGGCTGAGGTCGCTTGCTTGCCTCTTCACTTCTATTCTTGCATATTCCCCCCTCACTGTCTCTGTCTTTCTCAGTAAGTTATCCGAACCAGATGCCTGCAGAGCCTTTAGGGAAGGCGCCTTTGACCCTTCTTTTACTTTCAGGACCATTGCTGCAGGCCTATGCTCCTTCAGAGTCCAGTCAAAGACCTTTTGACCTAAACCCTTTCCCTTTACTCTACTCTGCAGTTTTCTCCCTTGTAGTACTTCTGCAGCTGATCACTCCTTCATAATGAGGAGGCTGGTTTGTTCTCTGTTGTACTTGGAGCCCTGCCTTTTTAAGATGATGTCAGAAAACTGCCTGATTTAGCCTGGGTGGTTCTAGTTTTACTTGCAAAAGAATTGCTTTCCTTTATATCTGTATTTCTCTTATGCAAGTACAGGAGGGAAAAGGAACACCATGTTACGTAGCAGAGGATGAAAAACAGTTCAAGTGCGGGATGACAGGACAGACCAGGCTGGTATAGAATCAAACAGGATTCATTACAGGCTGTTTTAGACTCCAGGCCTCGTGTAGGTCCTAACAGGGAGCTAACAGAGCAGGTCCCTGCTAACAGCAGCAGGTCACTGCAAAGTCAGATTCCTCTAAAAGTCATTTGGATCACTTCTGAGGACAAACCTGGGCTGGAAACCTACTTTGCACTGAGACGTCTGACGCTTCTTGCTCTCCAGCCAGATCATATGAAAATGTTTGGCAAAGCATTTGGCACTCACAAAATCTCATAGCTGGAAAAATTCACATTTGCAAGTGCAGAGGAAAACAGGAACCTGCTGATTCCCTTGGCCTCCTTTACACACATGGTTGGGAGGGCTGCAAACAAAAACCATACTTGAGTTGCCTGCATGTACAGGAGCTGTTGTCTTTAACGCATAACACCTGCAGTTATCCTCTTAGTAGCTTGAGACTTGGCTAGAATAATGAGGAGACGTGAAAGCCATAAAGTTTGGGAGCACAGGAACTTTCACTGGATGGTAAAGTGATGTTTTTGGGGGAAGAGAAAAGGTACAACATAGGAGAAGTAGAATTAGGAGTTAGTAAGTGATGGGGAATGGTTTTCTGCTGGAAGCTGCTGCACTCAATGAGAAAGTTACGAAAAGCCTTAAGTCATTAAAGAGGTGAATGAGAACCCCAGAACTAGATTTAAGGCTGAATGATGAGCTGGGTTTAGGACAGATGAAGGTGTTTATGTTGTATTTTAGCCCATGTTATCAAGCGAGCATGCTGGGCAGCCACAGGGTGCACCCATCAGTCTTGTGCTGCACAGTGTCTTTGAATGTCCTGTCTATTTCTAGGGATCTGAGAGGGTGGGAGGTACAACTGGGGCAAAACCAGCAGGGACATATTCCTGTAGTGGTGATGCTGCTTCTTCTGGTGATTGCTCTTCTCTCCTTTGTGGATGGTATTACACGATATGGTACAAATTCATTGTTGCATACCAGCGCTTTCCACATCCACTCAAAAAATACACTTAGTGTTTGTAAGGAGAAATTTAGAGCCCAGGATAATAGCCCAGTGCTGGAAATGCATCGATTGTTGTACCTTAAGGTCTCCTTTAGAAAATACAGTAAGTCTTAAAACAAAGTTTTGATTGCAGAGCCCAGCATCACATCTCCAAAATAGTGAGGCCCAAGTGAGATTCAAGCACTCCAAACACAGGAAATCAAATGGCATCATGTCTGGGCTCTGGCATCTTTCCACTGAGAAAGAAAGAAAACCATGAAAGCTTATGGATGTTTAGTGTTGTGGAATCTTTCCCCAAAGACGTGGCAGAATGAACCTACCCTGGGCAGAGCAAGGGATTGATTTTGTTATAAAGATCTCCTTAATCTCTTTGGATACCATGAGGCAGACAGAGTTTCCAGAATATATTTCTTCTCACCTCAACTCCTGCCTTATATTTACTGAGCTAAGCTAACGGGCAGATCTGGGGTTGAGAAGGTTTTACTGCAACTTCATGTAGTGCCCTTTGCCTTGGTTGTCATGAGAAATGAAGGGCAATGGTCCTCTAAAAGCCTGAGCAAAGATGGTGTATAAATTCTATGCAGTCCATACCTCTTACATAGGAGGAACTGCAGGGGTGGATCAGTGCAGCAATGCTCCTTGTTCTCTCTCATCGTTGCCAAGCTTTCCCCAAGTGTTGTAATTTTAGATTGATTTTCCTGCTGAAAAAGCTGCCTTTGACCCACTTTATTTTCTGATGCTGAAGGAGAAGTGCTAGATGGATTGGTGTAAGCTTTTAAGGCACTGTTTAGAAGCAGACTCTAACCCCAGAGTCTTGTCTTAGTGCCCAGCAGCTCATGAATTTTATCAGGTAGGTGGGATTAGCTTTTGTTGTAGGAGTTGACTGCTCTGTATTGCAGGGGTAGCTCTGAGAAGCAGCCACATCTTGCTGCCCATCAGCAAGGCAAAAAAAGAGGTCTTTTTTTTTTGCCTTTAAAATCTCACTGCACGCATAGGGATCTTGATACAACAGCACATCACTCACCTGCTTGTCCATCACTGCAGTCACTGCATCTACTGAGTGCCAATGGCAGCGGCATCAAGGTGAGGTTTTCCAGAGCAGAGAGGATGGGCTGAAGTGGCTGTTACCTGTGGGACAAGCAGGACAGTGTGTGCTGCAGTGTCTGCTGCAGTCACTGCCTTCCAAAGGAGATTTTATTCTCCCGTGGCAAATCCGGCATAAAAATAGCTGCTGGTAGAGGTATCGCCCGCAGCGGAGCAGCAATCCAGGATGAGCTGCAGACAAATGGGGGCTTGTGTTGGGGTTTTAAAGTCAAGCAGCATTTTAGCATCCAAATGGGCTAATTGCAGATACCATTATCATGACAGCTCATGTCACTCAGCTCAGCAATCACCAGATCCCCAAAGGTTCAAGTGCTGGCACTGGGGCCCTTCCCCATACGGGCTGTCTGCAGGTATAGAACCGATGTTTTGAGGCCGTTTTTTAAAGCAGGCAAACTGGGCACAGATCTTCACAGCCTCATCCCTGTCCTCTGCCAAACTGGTCATGAAGGAAGATCCAGCCTCTGGTGAGGTTCTGCAGGAGCTGCTGAGCTTCCGCTCTTCCGTTTTGCATCATACGTAGCATCACACAGTGAGGGCTTTTGGATTTTAGGAAATAGGATCCTAGCTCAGGTATTTTGGTGGGCATAGTGTAGAACATCTGGTTTATTGCAAGCAAGTTTTGCTACGTGGTGGAGCTGCAGCCCATGGGAGTCTGTACATTTAAACTGGAGGAAACAGGGCGCAAACACAGATCAAGTTCTTTGGCGCTGTTTGTGTTCACCTTTCACAGATACAGAGTTGTGAAGCTGTCCCTATAGAGTCCCTGTTTTCTCCTTTTCCAGAAAGGAGTGAAGGGTATTTCTCACCTCAGGTAAAGGGAACTACTGAAGCTAGGAGTGAGCAGTTTTAGAGGAGAGGAAGAGCTGGAAGTGGGTTTACCTGAAGCTGGTGAGTTGTGGGAAGAGCAGAGAAGGTACCAAAGACCCTGTGGACTGGAGGGAAGTGAAGGATGGTGAGGCTGCAGCCAGATTACAGAGTAAGAAATTCAGGCTGTGGGAAAAAACACTGGTTAAGGCCACAGGAGGGAAAATCTACTTGCTTCAGCTTGCTTTCCTTCTGCTGGCAAATGTCCTGTTCCTTGTCCTGGAGGAGGATACAGGGATTTGCTGTTTCACACCAAATGGCATCCCGGCCACAGTCCCACACTTCCTCATGGAAAGGGCACACAGAAGGGCAGGGAAGCTGGAAATGGTCAGGGCAGCTGCTGGGGGACAGGCAGCATCCCCATGTGCCAGGTTCTCACCTCCTCTCTGATAACAGACAGGGGAGAAGCATCTGCCCTTGGGCATTTCTAAAGCCCAGGACAGCCTGTACTTCCTCCTGAGGGCAGAGAGAGGCTGTGCTGGATCACTGGAGAGGCACGCGGAGACGGATGATGTTTTACTTATGCAAAGCTCTGCACCATGAGCCCTACTTGATTGCAAATAAGCAAGTGATCTTTTTAATCCAGTGCAGAGTCCAACAGAGCATGCATATGAAACAGTGCACGTGGCTGAAAGCAAGGGCACAGCGCTAGAGAACCATCAGAAGAAGGGAGAGGGGACAAACCCTGAAGCTCATGGGGTGGTTTGGTGGGTGAACCAGAGCAGGGGTGGTCTGGTGGGTGAACCAGTCCCAAGGCTTTGTGCTGCAGTTACTGGAGTGACCACTGTTTGATGCCAGGTTTTGGTGAAGGCTGGGCTGCTCACACTGGTATCTGTTATGAAGTCAGTGGTGAGCAGAGATTCAGTGGAATGGCAGCAGCTCTCTGGAAGGATCTGCCTGTATCATTAATCTGCCATAGGATTTAATTGTGAGTTAGAATCCAGGATGGCACATTATCTGCTAGTTTTGTCCTTGTGAATATCCAATGGAAGGAGATTAATAATCCAGATGGCTGGTAAAATGTTTGTTTTATCATGCTTTGTGATTATTATGAGACTGTCAGCCCTCAGAGCCTATTCAAGTAAAATGTCCTCTATATACAGTGTGTGCATTCAGCAGTCTAAATATATAATAATTACAGGTCAGCTCATGTTGGAACAGTGCCATTTGGTGATTTTATGCACCATTTGGGGATAGCTGCAAGTTGATAAATCACATTTCTATAGCTTTTATATCATAGAATGGTTGGGTTGGAAGGGACCTTAAAGCTCATCCAGTTCCAACCCCTGCCACAGACAGAGACACCTTCCACTAGAGCAGGTTGCTCCAAGCGCCATCCAATGTAGTGAACACCCTACTTAGAGGTGCCTCTGGACTGGGCTAAAATAGGAACTTTTGCAGCATTGTCTGAATCAACTAAATATGACATTTAATGTTACTGGGAAAAACCAGTGTCACCCCCAGTTTGCCTGTTCCACCTTCCTGTCGCCTGCAGCACACCACCCTTGTGGTTTGAGCGAGCAGGTCAGTGAAGCAGAGAGGATCTGGCCTGGGGTGCTGGTGTTGGGTCAGAGGACACGTTAACACTTAAGGTGCAGCCTTCCCTTGCCCCAGAACAGCCCAGCTCCTTCTCAGCACAGGCACAAGAGGATTTGAGAGCTGAAGTTGCAAAACCAACTCTACTGTGTCACACCAAAGGTCTGTCTGGCCAAATTGTTGCTTATGGATCATGGAATCATGGAACGGTTTGGGTTGGAAGGGACCTTAAAGCTCACCCAGTTCCAACCCCCTGCCACGGGCAGGGACACCTTCCACTGGAGCAGCTTGCTCCAAGCCCCTGTGTCCAACCTGGCCTTGAACACTGCCAGGGATGGGGCAGCCACAGCTTCTCTGGGCACCCTGTGCCAGCGCCTCAGCACCCTCACAGGGAAGAGCTTCCTGATACAAGTACAGGAGTTTGATGAGTTCAGAGTTATTCATGTAAGTCCATTTTTCAGGGTACACATGAGTTTTCTGAGCCCTCCACTTGAACCTAAAGTTTGCCAGCCTCAAAAATATTCATGACAAATGTCACTGGTAAGGTGGATTATCCCCTTTAGAGATGCAGAGAGCCGCCACCAGTTGAAGTGATTGGCCCGGGGTCAGCAGCGTTGCTGCCAAGATACCTCGTCTGTGTGAGTCATGGTCCAGACTTCAAGTGATCCCCTGGAAGAATGGTTCTCACTTGAATTAGGTGGAACTTCAGAGGTTAAGACAGAAAGCAGGAGTGTTTGAGCAGCGCAGTGGGATTAATCCTTTCAGCGGCTGAGGCTGCAGAGTGTGGGGATGAAGCACGTTCAGCTTCCTCTGCTGCTGATAAAATTGCTGCATTGGTTTTAATCTAAAGTAGAAGTTGTCTCGATTAGAACTGTGGGGTTTTGGTTTGTTTTTTTCCTTTTGGGAACATGAATCCTAGCAGGAAGGAGCGAAAATTTCATTAAGGAAATAAGCAGGTCTCCCGAGGGTCCCAGATGTGGCAGTGGGGAGTGTTCCTGCAGTGCACAAAAGGCAAAGCAAATTCTGAGGGTTTCAGAAATCATGAGCATTTGCAAGCTTGCTATTTGCCTTGAAGTTCCCAAGCCTGTAGGATTCCTGCTTTTGGGCCTTTCCCTCTACTGTTATTAGATCTGTCCTGCTTTATTTTGTAAATGAAAATGGAATTTTCTCTCATGGTCACTTGACTCCAGGAGGCTGAGCTTTAAAAATCCAAGTTCTCTCTTAGTTTACAAGTTCATGTATGGTTTTTGTTTGATGATGGAAAGGAAACTCGGTGTGCTGAAAATGCAGCTGTCCTTTCCAGAGATTTGGGGGGAATTTGTTCCAGTTTAGAGTGTTCAGTGCTTAGAGGTGCTTGGCACCCCATCCACAGCTGCCCTCAGCCCCCAGGTTTGAGGAGGCTTGTTCAGCCGCTCTGATCTCTGCGTGGTTCAGGGATCAGCACCTCAGGATGCTGAGATTGGGCATTTGCCCGAGTGGAAAGGCTCTTCATGTGAAATGATGAGGAAAGCTGCTGTGAAATGAAAATCAATGCTCATTCACAAATCCTGGCCTGGGAGGTTTACAGAAACAGCAGTGCCACAACCCGGTCAGCCTGGGCTGCCGATCACATTCCTGCAGGTTCTGAACCTTCTGAGCTCAATCACCTGGAAAGAGCAAAGGGCTTATCGTCCTCCTAGAGGTTTCCTCCTGGTTGGACAGACCCCAGCTGATGGTGTGTGGGAACTGGCCAAGCAGGGCTGTACCCCAGTAACTGCCATTTCCTTTAGGTTGTTCTGGTTTATGTATTTACAGCCTGGTTCAGAGCACTTGACAGCATCCAACAGTCCAGTTACATTTCACATGATCATTTTATGTTTGGGATCAAAACTGCCAATCCCCTTGCTCAGGAGAGGAGCTTGGCAGTGTGCAGGGAACCGTTTGGGGCTGGTTGCACCAGTGTGAATGGAAAGGGACTGTCTGGGCTGAAAGCTGCTGAGGACACCACTGGCAAGAACATTACTGTTGCTATAAGGAGGAAGTTGGTCCAGTATCTCCCCATGTCCTGCAGCCCAAGACTTTCACTTGTTGGCTTCCTGATTTAAGCCTGTTTCTCTCCCCTCTTCCCCTCGCAGCTATGGGTAAACCAAGAAGATGGTGTGGAGGAGGGAACCAGCGACGTGCAGAATGGCCACTTGGATCCAAGCGCCGACTGCCTGTGTCTCGGCAGGACCGTCCAGAACCGGGACCAGATGAGAGCCAACGTCATCAATGAAATCATGAGTACGGAGCGCCACTACATCAAGCACCTCAAGGACATCTGTGAGGTACAGTGGGGGTTGTGGAGCTGCAGGATATGGGGTGGGTTGTTGAAAGCTGAGGTCTGGGTTTGTCTTTGATGGGGGAAAAAGATGCAGTAGGTGGGTTTCAGTCCCATGTCTAACAGAGGAGCAGCTTCTGTCAGTAAGTATTGATGTGCTGGATCTGATCATTACCTTGAGTTTGTATTAAATAAAAGTACCATTTTCTGACCAGTTTTCCATACCTCTTTGGCTAAACAATAATGAGGTTGACATCCTTCAAGCAGTCTTCTTAATTAAAGCCCAATGCTTTTGAACTTGTGATTGAGGAAATAAAGCTGTAATTAAATCAACCAGTTACCCATTTCGTCTGTGTCTTTCACACTGGGTTCACTATTTCCCCTGCCTCAGGATGGCCCCCACTTGCCTTTTATTATGATGAGACTGAGAGCAAAATGTTCTCATCACAGGAAATGAAGTATGTTTTATCCAGTGTAAGGGGACCAGCAAGCAAATGGACTTTGGTGACTGACCCCATGCATCCTCAACTTGATTATTCTTCGTGATGTTACAATTAGCTTCTACCACCCTTTACTGTCCTGCAGTGCACAGAATTAGTGCTGTGAGCTGAGCCCAAAGGACAGTGCATGTGGTGCTGGGTGTTCAGGAAGGGGAATGCATGGTGTTGCAGGACAGCTTGGGCTTCATGTGCTGAGGATATACTATCACTAAAGACAGAAGTTTGTTAGCACTAAAACTAAAGCCTGTGGCTTTCAGCTGATCCCTCTGAATGTCTGGGATTTAGTGAGCCTGTGCCCAGTCTTTGCAGAGTCAATGTGGTGAAGCCCCCTGGGAATTCTGCTTAGAAACATGTCTTCCTCCCTTCATACTGCTGCTTCCCTACTGACGAGGCAAAGCCATCCAAAACGCATCTGTGACGCTTTTCAAAGATGGAAGAGTCTTGGGATTTCAGTTTGGAAACAAATGAGCTTAATTTCACTGTGCTATTTCCGTCAGAGGGCTTTGTACTGAGGAAGGGAAGAACTGCAGGAATTTTTCCACATGTCGTTTCTTTTCCTGTGTTTGCACTTTTCTGATGAAAAGCTAAATAAGGTCCCTTCCAACTCTAACCATTCTGTGATAAATAAAACCTAACGTGCACTTCCCAGCCATGTCAATCTGATTTTGCCAAATCATATTCTCAGAAGGCACAGGTAGGTGTATCTGCAGTGATGTCTGTGGGGTAGCACTGATTTACAGCACCTAATGATATGTCCCAGATAGGAAAGAGATCTCTTAAGGCTTGTTCTTTACTCTCTATGATGCAAAATAATGTTGAGGGGATAAATCTTACCTCCAGGTAGGGCACCAGGAAATGATTCAGCTGCTTCTCTTAAAGAAGGAGGAGGACTGACATGGGCATTCTCATCTGCAAAGTGATGGGCTGTCCCTTGCTGAAGAGAGCCTCATTGTGCTCAGTTTAATCAGAGCAATCCGTTTGCCTCGAGAAGACTGGGAGACAGCTCAGTCATCCCAGGCACTTCAGCATTGCATGACATGACTGTTTCTGTTTGTGCATGAGAGGAGGGGGGCTGGAGGTGGAGGGACAGGGGCTGGTTTGAGCACCTCCCCATGCTGCTGGAGGGATGTGTATGGAGGTGTTACTGTGCGGAGGAACAAGTGGCCAGCCGCCAGCCGCTGATGAGACACAAGGGCTGGTGACAGTGGCAAATTCCCTCTTCCCTTTGCTCTTTATTATAAGTTGTCAGGACAAACAGCAGCAGGATGACGTACTGGAGGGGATGAAAGAGGAGTTGTGGCTGGGTGGTGAAGGCTGAGCCTGATTTAGTACTGAGTTTAGCAGTGAGCAGTTATACTCTTGTTGCTGAGCTATAATGAATAACAAATCCCAATACCATTGAGGCACCTTAAGATGTTATCAGAGGACACAGCCCTTGCTAGGTGATTAAGAGCCCTCCAATTGCTCTTTTCTGCTTCAAGATGTATTTCCACTATCTGCTACTATATTATTATAGACCATGTTATTATTCATAATACCCATAGTTCTGCTAAGTGAGGAGCTCATGAGCTTGCCAGCACCAGAATGAAATGACCTGTGCAAGCCAAGACCTGCATGAAGCAGCTGGCTTGTCACACAGAGCCACTGCCCTGAGCAATGCTGCTGTGTCCTGGCTTAGAGTACAAAGGCCTGACTGCTGTCTGGTAAAAGAGTTCTGTTCAGGGGTAAAATGTGGGGTGTTCCCTGGCTTGCATTACTAGGAGTGGATGGATCAATATTCTGAAATACAGCCAAGAAGAAAAGAAAGAAAAAAGGATTTGGCCTTAAGGAAATATCCAGTAATAGGAATTTTAGGCTTAGAGCTTAGGAAAATCATAGAATCCTAGAATGGTTAGGGACTGCAGAAAGCGCTTTGGATCAGTGGGGATAGATACACTCCATAGATCTATTCCCCAGTGTGCAATTTGTAGGTACCTCTCACTGCCTGCTTGTGCACACCCTGGTTTTGTGTTCCAAAGCTGCCTGCTTCTTGCCCTTTAGAGGAACAGGCTTATGTCCTGCTGGACTTCAGTTTACGTTTTAGGTGAGCCCCAGGGCAATCACAGAGCCTGGCATTCAGTGCTTGCTCTAGACCCGTATTTGAACAAGTGCTTTAGAGTCCTGACTGCCTGGGACCAGACATGGCTGAAGTTTGCTTTTTCAATCCAAACAGACTCAGCTTTGTTCTTCTGCTTATTTCTGTTATGTGTGGATCAGCATAGTGCTCGCCTCGATGCTGTGAGCACTGCTCTGGAGAGCAGTGTTTTTATAGCCCAGATGGTGCTGGTCCAAACCAAGGGATGATCTACAGGACAGTAGAAACAGCCCCAAACTGGCTCAGAGATGGCAACAAACTGGAACATCATCACAGCTGCCTTCAAAGGTAGAACCTGCAGTAGCTATCTCCTTATTCTCTCCTTCACCTTGCTCTCAGCTGGACAAGAAGAAGAGGGCTGGATGGGCCACCTCTCCTGACTGTCTCTAAACCCACTGTGGGGTGAAGAAAACTTAGCACTTAACCTCCTGCAAATACTTTCCAACTTTGGCCTGTACTTCAGGGACTACATGGAAAAGTACTTTAAAGAGAGACAGTTTGACAGCTATTTTTAGGTTTTCATTGAGCAAAACGCTCTCCAACATCTGCTCATCAGTCAGTTATCCCTTCTCTGAGCAAACCTGACGGGATGAGCATAAGGAAGATGACATTGTTTTATGTAACAGAAGTAAATTTACTGGAAAAACTCTGCAGCAGCCTTCTAGCTGGCTCTTGCTGCCTGTTCTATATAAATCTTCAGTCTCCCCTTTGCTGGCTTGAGCTGGAAACCAACTTTCCAAACGCACAGGCTGGATAGAGGATAAGACTTGGGAACTCTGTGTGTTCTTTTCTTTTCCCTCTGGCTTTATAGGTGCCTATTCAAAGATGTGCTTCTTCAGCTTCTCCAAAGCACGTGGCTCGGGTGAAGCAATGAACCAGCACAGGAAGAACAGGGGATGTTCAAGACAGTAGCTGCAACCAATAGCAACCCCAGGGCTGAAAGATGTTCCCCTAAACCGTGCAGTGAGTGAGTTCACAGAGCAGCATGTGAGGGGGGAAGCTGCCTTGCAGGCAGCCTGCAGCAGGGCAAAGGTCCAACACAAACACCTTGAGGCACTCACTTAGTGCTGCTGACACCAAAGTAGTGTCAGAAAGAGCCAGTGTCAGAAAGAGCCTGGCCTCATGGGCACGTGAACATCTGCTTTCTTTGTGTTTTATCTGAGATAAGCAGGTAAGCATGAAAAGCAGCATGGAAAAGATACTCTGTATTGTTCCTTGATAGTTTGAATTTGTATTTGTCCTGTAATGTGGGAACCAGCCTGCTCCCGTTCCTCCTGGCCTTGAAAAATGAGAGGGAAACCCAGGAAAATGAGTCATCAAGGAGCTCCTGGAAGAAGAGAGACCTAGATTTAGTACATGCAGAAGGTATTCCATAACCCAAGCTTCTCAGCTGAAAAAGCCAGGAATTTCAGGGTAGTGGCATCCTTCTAGCAAAGCTGGACATCACAGAGGTTGGGTCTTTGCCAGGTCGGCCAAAGTTGTATTTCTCATTCATCTCTGTGAAGTTCTCCCTCCCAGGAACCACATGGTGAGGCTGAAGGACAGTTTATTATAGCGTTCCAATAGTTTGCATTGTGGACCAGCAGCTGCATGTCACCAGCTGGCAGTTCCTCTGTGTGACTAAGCATCTAGAGTGCCCAAATATAGCCCTCAACTGGAGCTGCTGGCATTTTTTCCCTTTGTTTCTTTTTCTCTTCCTATATACTAAAGGCAGCCAAAGTCATCTCATGATGCCCCCCTTGTTATTTCTCTTCGGTCAAGAGGCCACAGTCCTGACCAGGCCAACATCTGATACTTGGCCTTGTAAAATTTCTAGTCTGAATGGTGCAGGCAGGTGAAGCACAGGGGGAGGAGGTGATGTGCTCAGTGTCGCAGATGGTGGCAGAGCCAGAAATTCATTCCAGACACCCAGAGCCTCCATGTATCACCCTCTGTGCTCGACCACTTGTGCTTCAGGCAAGTGTGTTTGAAAAAGTCCTCATGATTGAAGTCCTCAAAGATGCTTCAAGGGCTGAGGCACCTCTCCTGTGAAGACAGGCTGAGAGAGCTGGGCTGCATCAGCCTGGAGAAGAGAAGGCTCCTTAAGGGGTCTCGAGACCTTGGAGCAGCTCCAGTGCTGAAAGGGGCTGCAGGAAACCTGGAGAGGGGCTTTGGACAAGGGCCTGTAGGGACAGGACAAGGGGAATGGCTTTAACCTGCCAGAGGGGAGACTGAGCTGAGCTCTTAGGCAGAAGCTCTTCCCTGTGAGGGTGCTGAGGCGCTGGCACAGGGTGCCCAGAGAAGCTGTGGCTGCCCCATCCCTGGCAGTGCTCAAGGCCAGGTTGGACACAGGGGCTTGGAGCAAGCTGCTCTAGTGGAAGGTGTCCCTGCCTGTGGCAGGGGTTGGAACTGGATGAGCTTTTAGCTGAAGAAAGGATGATGAGTTCATGGATAAGGCAGGGTCAGCGCAACAGGAGGCAGACACAACTTGGTGTGTTACCCTTTTTGCCAGAACATTGATCCCTTTGGTCTTTCTAGGTCAGGAAGTCTTCAGAGCAGTGCTCGCCTACCAGTTTATGTTTGTGTGCTGTCCAGCTAAGCTCAGTCTCAGTGGGCATCGTGGGCTGTTGAAGAAGCAGCAAGGAGGATGTTTATTATTGCTCTGGACACTCTGTCCATGCAGGAGACCTGAATTGTTTCCAAACCTCCTGCAGGTTCATTCTGTGATTCTGGGGAATTTATTTAAACTCTCCACATCCTGGTTCTTTCTCCCCCCTTTCTCCACTTGATTTTAATGTGTGTAGACTCAAGGGAGCCTGCTGTTTGTACAGAGAAGGCTACAAAGCCTTTTCTTCTGTCCTACTGAAAAAAAAAGGAAGAAAAGCAGTGAAAGACGATTTTTGAGAAAACAGGAGAAAAAAATCCCCTCATTTTGCGCTGTTTGGAATAGCACATCTGCACTAAGGGAATAGAGGGTACAGAAAAATGCTGCTGCTTTCTTCTAGATGGCATTGATCACCAGCTTGGGCTACTCCCACTGGGCTCTGTTAGTTGGGCAAGCCAGACTCCTACCCTCCTACTGCATCACTTTTGGGGTTCCTGACCATCACATAGAACAAAAGCCCCCCCGCTTTCATCTTGAACTTGGGAAGATGAATAATGTGGGGGGATAGTCTGTGTTGCCTCTCAAGTCAGGGAGCATTTGAAGAGTGCTTGCCTTCAGTATTTCACTTGGTGCTGAAACAGCGAGGATGGTGGCACCCTCCATACCTGCTCCCTAGACCAAGGGACATTAATAGACAGTCACACATTAATAGAACCCCAGCCTGGTTTGGTTGAAGGGACCTTAAAGCTTATCCAGTTCCAACCCCCTGCAGGCAGGGACACCTTCCAGTAGAGCAGGTTGCTCCAAGCCCCTGTGTCCAACCTGGCCTTGAACACTGCCAGGGATGGGGCAGCCACAGCTTCTCTGGGCAATAGAGTGTTTCTCAGCATGATCACAGAATCACAGAACTGTTTAGGTTGGAAAAGACTCCCAAGTTCATTGAGTCCAACCACAGGCTGTGAAGCCCTGGGTGTACTGGGTCTGATGTGTCCTTAACAAGAGTAGTGCTGTGGGTCTACTGTAGGATGCAGTGGGAACTTGCAAAGGAGATGCTTGCTGTCTATCAAAACCAATACTCGTAGCATCTCAAGGCAGGTTTTTTTTATTGCATGCTTACTGATAGAGAGGAGTTGATGGAGACTGTCATGCCATAGCAGTGGATTTTGTTTTCAGGGCCATCTTCTTGTTTTTAGTTGCTCCTTCCTCAAGAATAATCTGGGAGCAGCCTCAGTGTGTTTGGGTTATTTGATGGCTTGTTCTTTCTTACTCCCTACAGGGTTACTTAAAGCAGTGCCGGAAGAGGAGGGATATGTTCAGTGATGAACAGCTAAAAATCATTTTTGGCAACATTGAAGATATCTACAGATTCCAGATGGGTTTTGTCCGGGACTTGGAGAAACAGTACAACAACGAGGACCCCCATCTCAGCGAAATTGGACCGTGTTTCCTTGAACACGTGAGTGAATTGGCCATGTTTGTTTGGGAGTTTTGGGGTTGGTTTGGGGGGAGGGAAGGTGTAAGGCGAGTAGCAGAAAAAGTCAGGAGGCAGGAACCACTCAGAATAACTTGTGCATCAGTGCTGTTCTGGTTACATATCAGGGATTACTCCATGGCCCTCCATCTACTTCATGAGATGCAGAGAAGGGAAAATATGAAGTGAAGCAGTTGGATAACACCCTAGAATATTTGAATCCCAACACCTTTTAACATCCACCCTTAGTCATGTTATGTAGGTGCTGTGTCCCTCACTCCCCACCCTCTTCTGCTCTTCAGAATATGAGTTAAACCAGCTCACAGGCCAGCCTAATCAGGTCATGGATGGCCAGAAGGTTGGAAGAGGTAGGAGAGTTCAGAGGAGTAAAAAGAGGCCTTAGTTGTGCATTACACAGAAAAAGGAGAGGAGAGCAAACGCCTGGGCTGTTTGCTGTGGCACTGTGATGCACTTTCAAGGGCTGAAAACCCCCCAGAGCTTCAGTTTCCTTACCCTGCAAAGCTGTTGGGTGGGTGGGGAGGTGCAGCTCACGCTAGGTGCACACTGAACAGGATGTTTTTACTGACCATATAGTCCTGGAGGCTTGTGCCCAGCCCATTGTACTGTTCCATACCCACATGCTACAGGAGCTGATACATTGACCAGTGCTGTAAATATCCCAGAAAATGACAGTCATGCAGTTCCAGACTTTCCTTCAGGGAGAATGAAGTGCTGTTACCAGAGCTTAGCTATGAGGTGCTTGAGCCGGGGAGGCAGACCCTGCACTGTGCTACCCCATTACTTATAGCCAGGGCTCTACTGGCAACAGCTCACTTCTTATCAGAGACATTTCTGATAGCCATTCATGAAACTTCAGCAGGGCATCCCTAAACAGGTTCACAGCATCTCTTAAACATTGTTGATCTTCCAACTGAAAAGCAGGTTTCTTGTTGAGAAGTTGCACGATGGCATTAATATTGCTCATTATTATCAGAGCCTGCAGTCTCTGCTGCTTGCTTCCAAAGCAGCATCACATTCGATCTCTGTGCAAAAAAGATGCAAGAAACCTTGGTGAGAATCAGTAGCTGAAATTTGATGTCTTGAGGCTGTGCTGTCAATTCATGTAGAGTGACAATAGCAAGAATTACTGTGGTTATTCAGAGCAATATCTGACAGTCCTCTGTCATCAAACACAGGCTGGAAGCTGGCTAATGAATTCCTGATAAATGATCCCTGTTTAGCCATTTGGGGGAACTGAGGGATGAGGACATTAAGATCCTGTTATCTTGCTCGTCATCTGCTTCAGGAGGAGAAAAGTGTCAGCTCTTGGTCAGCTGTGGGGATGGGAAAGAAACCAGGCCCCGTTATTCCCAGGAAGGCCCTCATGGGACTGAGAAATAGGGATTGTGGGTCAGGTGCAACACAGTAGTTAGTGACTTGAGCTCCCTGTTGGTAAAGGGAATTTTAAATATACCCAGCTCCTAAACACTTGCCAGGTGCTTCATGAGGGAAAGGGCTCTAGAACTAACAAGGTTCTGCTCCTGTATTATCAAAGGCCAGAGCTCTGCTCTGTTCTACCTTAACCTTTTATAAGGTTGTCTCTAGAAAGACAACCCCACCACACGATTTGACCCTGAGAGCACCGACAACACTGCGTAGGGCTTCACTTCAACACAGCATTACAGAGACCTCAGCCACACATCAATACACAGGTCCCTCTCTGCTTCCCTTTTTTCCAAGCGCAGCCATGCAGCAGGAAAAGTCCTTCCTTTAGGATCAGCACTTCCTCCTCCTGCTTAGGGTATTCTTTCTTCTTTAGTTGTAACATGTTCTTGTTGGCAATCTGGGTGATTGACTGCTCACAGCACTTGTCTGACATGTACCCCCCTCCGTGTGCATCCCTCTTCTCCTGCCTCTCACAGCAAGATGGCTTCTGGATCTATTCGGAGTACTGTAACAACCATTTGGATGCATGCATGGAGCTTTCCAAGCTGATGAAAGACAGCAGGTACCAGCATTTCTTCGAAGCGTGTCGTCTGTTGCAGCAGATGATTGATATTGCCTTAGATGGTTTCCTTCTGACACCAGTGCAGAAGATCTGCAAGTACCCCCTGCAGCTCGCAGAGCTCCTCAAGTACACTGCACAGGATCACAGGTATGCTGGTCTCCTACTACACCAAAGGGTTCTGCTCACTGCTGCTTCACGTGGCCTCTGCACACACACAGGGCTGGGTTTTTGCTGTCCAGCTCTTCTCCTCATGACATCTATTATACATTGAAGCAGGGCAAAGGTTCAGCAGACAGTTAGAAAGCTTCTCAAAGCGCTGATTCTCAATGGAGCCAAACTCATCTCTGTTATAATCAGACATGTGAACTAATTACCCTTGGATGTACTTTCTGATGCTACCAGTTACACTTGAAAAATTGCCTAATTGCATTCAGTGGTGAAAGGCTCCTTCCTTTGTCCTGAAGAGGACCTCAGCACACAGCAAATAGAGGGCCAGCACCCGCAGCTCAAACCTGATTATGCTCAGAGCTGGGGAGAACCCAGAACTTGCTCTGCTTTCAGCCTGACTGCACCTCTGGTTTTGCCACTGCATTTAGGTTCAGAGAAGCACCAGCAGTTTGATTACTTCCCAGCATTCCCAGGGTCTCTTGCTGCTGCTGAGGACAATCAGCCTGACCCCCTGACTTAGAGTAAATCAGGAATAGGACCTGTGATATCACTTGAGATATACTGCTAAGAAAATAAGGTGAAAGAAGAATCAGGCCCCCTGGAGTGAATTTTCTCCTGGCTTGCCAATTAGCTTTCTTTTTCCAAAATCCATTTGAAAGGAAGTGCTTCAGAGAGCAGAAACAACCACAGATGTTTCAGAAACTTCTGCAACTATTTGGTTGGTTTTGTTTTTCCCCAAACCCAGCTCTGAAAGTGCAGAGGGATGTGATATGAGCAAAGAGATGCATTTGCTTTGACCTGATTCATGAGTTTGGCTGACTGATGCTAGCTGAATGCTGAGTTCAAAATCACCAACTTGGACAAGCATTTGGCTCTAGATCCAATTTCTGTTTTTTCTCTTCATAACAAGATCAAATCAGTCTTGGAGTGGATTCATGGGAACAAGGGCCTCAGAAAGCAGCTCTAGGATCCCAAATGTTGTGGCTTTTTGTCCTTACCAGCCATGTGATGTCCCCACAGTACTTAGAGTGTGAATTCAGATGCGGCTTTACAATGAGAAGACATAAGGAGCCTCAGAGAGAAGAGATCTGTGTTTAAAGTGACCTTCTCTGAGCTATTTGGTAGCAATGCCAAAGGGGATGTGGACAGTGTGATTACACAAGGGTTGAATTATTTGGAGAGTACATTCCTTTTTCCTTTGGGATGTTTTAAAAATGAAATGAGGTGGATTGTACCACACTTGCCTGTGGCCTAGCTCCTCCAGTTCAAGTGTTCAAAGAGCCTGGGAGGGACTGATCCTTCAGGAAACCCATTTCACATCCCAGACAAGCTCAGTGCAATGAAGGAGGAGAGCGAGACACAGAGAATGTATGATTCTGCACTGGGGCTGTGCAGAAAACTCAGGCTGCAGTGGTTGTCTGCTTGACATGAAACTGTTTTCTGCTCTGGAACTGGGGCTAAGGTAAGCAAAGCCTGAGGTGGGAAAAGCAAATAATCTTCGGGAAGATCATGATTTGACAATATAAGACACTGGGAAGGCCATGTACCTGCAGGCTGGGATACCATCAGGGTCAGCTATGAACAAGAGAAACTGAGAAGCCTCCCGGGGAGCCCAGGGGCCCGTTAACCAGGTGGTAAATTGCCTTCATGCACTTGTAGTGTGACAGTGCTCATGGTGAGATTGAGAGTTGGAAACAGAAGCTAGAAAATTACACTAATACCATGCAGTCAGGCTCATCATTGGCTGAATTAAGAGTCTCTCAGGCACTCTGATTAGAATTTAGTGTGTAGAAAATACTGTTTGAATCAGTAAAACCATTTATGGAGTAAGGCAAAACTTGGAAAGGAGTGGGAATTCCAATGGAAGCAAAGATGTCAGCTTCATCTGACAGCGGGATATTATGTTCTGTTTCTTTTTTCTTTTCTTCTTCACTAGCATCATACTTGGTAGAGCTGTGGATCTTCCCTGCACCAGTTTAGGACAGCAGAGCTGGAATAGGAAACCTGACCACTCTCCCTGACATTAGCATGTGATGTCTGGCAAGAGTCTAGACTTGCATCCTGATTGAGCACTGGGAAGTGGTCATTCCAGCCCCAGTATAATTGATAGACCATGTCTATACCTTCATTTTATAGTTAACGGCATCCCATTATTATTTCACTGGCCAAATGCTTTGCTTCTGTTATTTTTCCTCTTGAGTTTTTGCCAGCTCTGCCACAGGCATGGGCTAGGAGCCCAAAAAGTTCAGTCATGACTCTTCCTTCATTACTGCATGGGGTTTGCTCTTCAAACATAACATTAGATTAGTGAATTAGCATTACCAAGATGAAAACCAGCTTGGCTGGTACTGACCCACCTCATGTGGAGGCAGGCACAGGGGTGTTTCAGAGCCTGGCTCCCTTCAGTTGCTGTTGTTTTGAGACTGGTTCGTTGGAATGTTTCACAAAGGTGCATCTGTTCACCTCTTAGAGATTCACTCCAGCTTAATAGGAATTAAATATATGAAGGTCTGAAGTGCAGCTTCCTGGTGTCCTGAGCATTCCTGCTGCAGAGCTGAGCTGGAGTTAAGAGTGAGTGAACATGAGTGAGAAGGAGGACATGCCGCTAATGGGTGGACTGGCATTAGCCTCCCTTCTCTGCAGGAGCATAATTGCTAGGAGACAGTTAGTGACCGTCCTGCATGCCTCCCTACCTCTACAGATCCTTTCTGACCATAGTGACTTACCTGTTCCCTACAAGAACTCACAGACATTTTGAAGACCAGACTGATGTCTCCCTGGCATAGCTCCATTTCTGTTACACAACCAGGCACTCACTTCATACAGGTGGCCTTGCAAAGGAAGGCACAAGAAATTCTTCCTTGTGTATCATGGTGGCTATGTCAGACAGCCCATCCTCTGTTCTCCTTTGTGTTATTGAAGGACCAGTCCTGATGTTCTGGAATTTGTAGGAGGTTTTTTTTAACCTCAGCTGGAATTTTGATGTAGGAATTGAATAAAAATTGAAAATGCATCTCTAGATTTCATCCAAGAAAGGGCAGCAAAATAGCCAATCATACTCTGTTGTATATCATCTTGTGATTGTTTCTTAGTATTTGTCCCGTTTGATTCACATGAGGAAAGGGATGTAATTGACAGCACTCACCTGTTCGTGCTGTCACCAGCAATAATCAATAGAGCCATTCCCCCTGCAGCTGCCCAGGATGGCAGCTTTTCTCATTAGTCAGCAATCAATATCAACCCTTAACTTAATAATATATTATGGTGGCATTATGGCAGCTGGCCATGTCTGTCCTTCCAATTGAAATTAACATTAAGGTTCCTTGGAATGGAAAAGAAGGCAGAGGATGGAAATCAATAGCATTGATTTCGGCATCACTTTTTGAAAAGACTGATCATCATCTTTGCTGGCCTTGGCAGGAGGCTGGTTTCACTCTCTGTTATTACACTCACAGGCCCATCCAGGAATGAAAAACAAAGAACTGCTTTGATTTGCTCACCTGAAGTCTGCACTAAGCCTGAAGGCTGTGGGATAAATGCCCTGTGGCACTCTTGGGGTCTTCTTATGGCTTGGAAGATGCTCTGGCCTTGTGTCTGATTGAAAAGTAGTTCCTAATGTTCAATTTAAAATGAAAAAGACCAGGTGCAAAGGCAGAGACTATAAAAATGTCCAGACTTTCCTTTAGGATGCTCTTTAGCTGAGGATCTGAAGACTTTAAAGAGCAATATTCATAACTGTCATACATTGTAGAGGCTCAACTGTACTCATTGAATGAGCTGAGGGGCTGGCTGGCTTCTCTGTCTTCTACACACCCAACTTCAGTTTCAAGCTGCTCTTGTGGTGATCCAGAAAGACACTGTTGATGGAAAAAGTACAGTATGGTAGCAATGAGAAGCAAATCCTACCTGCATTCCTTTCTAAAAGGATGGTGAGACTATGCTGCTGCTAATGCTAAGCCTATGTGCACTTCCACTGCACCTCAGTGTGGAATTTCATGGGCTTCCCTTTTGTGTTTGACAGTGACTACAGATATGTGGCTGCTGCTCTCGCCGTCATGAGGAACGTGACTCTGCAGATCAACGAGCGGAAGCGGAGGCTGGAGAACATTGACAAGATAGCTCAGTGGCAGGCCTCCGTTCTGGACTGGGAGGTACAGTAAATGCTCAGCCCTCATTTCAGTGCTATAAACCTGGAAGAAGTAAATTCCAGGCAGCTGGTGAATTATCCAAGACCGTATAGTTCATTTCACACAACCTAGACTTGGGATTAAGCTTGGGACAGAGAAGACATATTTAGGGACTTTAGAGATGGTACTTAACATGTAAAACATGAATAGTACTCTGAAGAAAATCTAGGGTTCCGTTCCAATTTCATCAATAAAAATCTGGAGTAAATTTGGCAATTGTAATGCTGTTGTCTGGGGGTTAAGTGAGATGTGGATCAAACTATGTGCATTCCGGCTCTGTGCTTTGTTTTTAGGGAAGAAGGAAGTAAAGAGATAGCAAAAAGGCCTAGGAATTGTGACCAGTTAAGAAAATAGAGAAAACTCTTCTTGAAGCTGCTTTATGATTACAAGGCAAAACATTATGCTGAAGTTAGAGCTGCTATTTGCACATTTAAAATGAGTACCCACTCAAAGATATTTCTGAAGCAACCCTGTATGTACTGATCATGTAATTAAGGAGCTGAGAAACACAGGCAAGGCAAAGTCAGCAGAGGGATTCCTCACCAGCAGGCCTCCAGTCTCTGGCATTTTTGCCATGTGTTAACAAAAAAGGCATCCTAAAATTATGTTCTTCTGTTCTTTTCATCCTGATTTTGTAAAAGTCATTGTATGAATGTGATCTGTAAAGAGGGCTTTGAAGCAGAGCAAGGACAAAGGCTTTTGTAAAATCCTCTCTGTGTTATCATTCCTTGTGTCTAGTAAGTAGATATTTAGAGTGATGGAACAACCTTTTTTCTTCCTCACAGTCATGAAGATCTGGGAATAACTCCCCATTCAGGTCAGCGAGCTCATACTGTGTAGATTAGTTTATGGGAAAGATGGATTAATCCTTTAATTAGTTTTTTTCCAGAAAAGACCTAGGAAGACTGGAAGGAGAGGCAGGGAAATGCAGGTGGATCACGTATCCTCCTTGACTGGATTAGTTTCGTTGCTGTAATGAAGGTTGGATTCAGGCTGGGATCTCTTGCCGAAACCCATAAATGCAGCAGTCAGAGCTGTTTGTTAAGTCATGACTGGCTCTGGGAGCAGAGAATGAAGATGATTTGCTTGATTGTTTTATCATTGTTTAATGTGAAGAAACCTCTGGTACTGACACGCAGGCTCATTTTCAGTATTAGAAACTGCCCTCAAGGAGGCATGGGACCATCACATAGATATTCAGCCTTCAGAGTAGCCCATGTGATGAGCTGATGTGTGTCATTTGTAAGAAATACTGAGACCCTCATTGTAAATAAACCTAGATTAAGGACGGATCAATTCCAAGTCAGTGAATATTCATGTGTGAATGCAAAGCCAAGGTGACCTCCACATAGGATCTATGGAATAGCAGTTTTTCTATTTCATTAGCTGAGTTGATAATTCATTTTTATTTAGCCATATCCTCGATAATTCATTCCTGCTTAGCAGCGCCCATTCTTTATCTCTATCCTGTCCTCAGGAACTTGCCAAATCATTCCTCCAGGCTTTTTTCAACTACTCCAGATTTTAAGCACAATATTACAGCAACGTCCTTCAGCTTCTCATAATCTAGCAAAACCACTCAGAGATCTGATGGGAATATAGCTACTGCCCTCATTCAAAGGAAAACAACCTTCTTGCCATTTCTATTCTGTATTCTGGATCAAGAAGAGTCATGGAGCTGTGATGAGAATACTAAATGATGAGAGCTGGGTCCAGCAGAGGACTTCACTGCTTCATTCTTTCCTCTAAAGTAACATCAGATGCAGCCCCTACTTCACAGATGTCTGTGTAATGGTCAGAAGGATGCACAAACCCCAAAATACTCAGGAGTTAACTGGTCTAATGTGGGAGAAATGAAAAGCAGTGCCAGATGCTTAGCTCTGTCCTAGATATGTCCTAGACCTTTAGGCATTGCAAACCCAAGCTGCTAACCTCCAGAAACTCCACTCAGCTGATATTTATCTATAGGACATGTGTACCAGGACAGAGACCATCAGGGCTTGATATTTCATCCAGCCTGTAAGGGTTGAAGCCCTCATCTTCTGCACATAGGGAGTTATGGAGTAGAAGAGGATTTCCTGGTATGTCTCCCTGGCTTCTTCCAGTCTCTGAGGAATGTGCCTTTGTTATCTGTGTCCAAGGGTAGAACCCACAGAGCTCTCCCCTCCTTCTGTGGCCTTAATCCTCTGATTAGAGTCTGTGCCCAAAAGTGCTCCTTTTCTATCCCTTTGTGTCTTCTCTCTGTTTCAGTGAGCACTTAATAATAAACAGGATGAGCATTTGCAGAAGCACAAAGCTGATGGCAGGTCACTTTGAATTGGTGTCCTCCAGCAATGACCTGGGAATCGTGGTCTTCTACTCTCTGATGGTGCACTTGGTGAATTATTTCAGCAGCAGACTAAATGTATTAAGCACATTGAGATCTTTCATTGGTGCAATGTCTGGTTTTCCTCAACATCTCTAGACTAGCCATGTTGATTCTCTGATTTGAAATTGCATTTTCATCGCAAAATTCACCTGTGTTTTGCGATGAGATGTTGGGAAAAGGCTGTTACAGGAGAAGAAAACCCCCAAACCAAACAACAAACATTTAGTGAATGGATATTTGAAACATCCTTGTATACAAAGTGTGTGCACACATTTTTCTTGCAAGGAGAGGGTGTTATTGAGCCTGTGTGCATATTGCTGATCCTGAAACAAAGAGAAAAAGCAGGGGGCATGTCCTAGCTAATTTAAGCAGAAGGGATTTTACTGAATCCCATGGAGTTGTGCCTGTGTGTTTCAGGATTCATTTTTATCCCTCAAGATTTTCTGCATGGCCTCGTGAAGGTGAATTTCAGGGTCAGTGTTTGAAAAATGTGAACATCCTTGAGTCAACCAGGCTTTGGGTTTTCTTCTCCAAGAAGTCATATAGTTAGGGGCTGAGGGTTTAACTTGCCAATGGGACCCTGACTCTCATGGCACCTGATAAGCTGTGGCAGTCAGGGCATGAAGTCTTAAGGAATTATTGGCAGCTTTGGCAGCTTTATACAAGTAATGACTGAGCAGATTCTTAAGGGAAGATTCTGATCTCACTGACAGCTGTAAATGAGAAATAATCCCCATCACTTTGAAATGTGTTCCTGTATAATTCTTAGGAGCGTGGTCCTGACCGAAAAGCCTGGCTTGGCCTGTTGCCACCTATGACTCACTTCTTCATTTTCTAACCTGAATTTCCAACACATAAACAGCCCTGGAGAGGTGCTCTCCCTGCCTACACCGAATTCTGTAGTGCCTTTTGTCCTTTCAGTTGTTAATGGCACAGAATGTAGGGCTTCCACCACCTCCCGCAGAGACCTTTCAGTGTCTGAGAGCTCTCCTTGTTATGAAGTGTTTCCTGATGTTCAACATCTATTTCCCCTTGCTCAGCATCATCCCCTTCCTTGCAGCTAAATACCCTCAGATCAAAACAGTGACATTTAAAGGCAGGCAGGCAAAACCAGCACAAGAAGTTAGCTGGAATGGGTTCAGAACAGCGCACGAAGTCTCCTCTGGATCGGGCTTCAAACAGGCCAGACAGAGCCCATCCTGGGCAGCCTTTGCACACTCAGTCCCTCCTTGTGCTCTTGCCCTCTGAGAGAGAGTGACAGATCTCAAAGGTTACTGGGTAATATCTACATATGTACACACACAGCAGTACTCTAAAGAGGTGATTTCCACAAAGCCCATCATCATTTGGATGTTTGGCACAGGAGAGAGCCTTGTTCATTTTAACTTGCCATTTAAACGGCTTACTTTGGTTTATGTAGATACCCAGATATCTCTACCAGAGATTACCATGGGTTTCCACTTTGGCAGGTTTCAAGAGTGTTGAATTTACATGGAGGGAAAAATACATATAATTGAGAACTACAATGAACACTGTTCTTTTAAATGTCTTCCCATTCTTGTTATTTGTGGGGCCTTTCAATCAAGACTTGGTGCCCTTAATTACGTAATACATAACTGTGGGCCGCAGCCTAATATTACGTTATTGAATCCAAGAATGACATGAAAGAAAGAGATACATGCAACCAAAGTAGTGTTTTCAAAGGGAGGGCAGCCCGATGAGAAACCCTCCTGGGGAAAAATCGCATCAGGGACTGAAACACATCCTTCTTTGCGTATCCTTCTTTTCTTTTTCCCTTCCCCCAGCAGCAGAAGGTATCAAAAATGAGCCTGTTGAAAAGGACAACATTTCTCTTGCTTTCTCTGATCTTTGTGTAGCCCAGAGTGCTAATCAGCCTGTCAATCTCTAATTAAAGAACAGCAGTGGCAGGGAGAAGAGTCCTGCTTGCTGAATGTTAACTAGGAAAGGGGATTTTGTGCCCAGTGGTGACAGCGAAGAGCCATGTCAGGAGGTGGGCTCAGGCACAGGGGAGCGGGTCCTGTGACTGATGAGCATTTCTGAGCCTGGGACAGCATCTGCTCAGGGATTGCTCTTGGGAAGAGGGAGCAGAGCAGGCTGGGAAGTGTAGCCTGCTCCAGCTCACAGGGCTGTGCCCTTCCTTGTTCTGTTGGCGCTCCCAACAGCCTTTTTTTCATAACACCAGTAAAACCCCTTTGGTTCTCCCCAGTTCCTTGTTACAGACAGTGATGGTCACCTATAGCATAACTGGGGAGCTGATGATGGGCAAATTCCATAGCAACAGAAGAGCTGACCCTCTGCTTCAAGTTGTGGTCAGCCCTTGGGTTTTATGTGTCAAGCTCAAGGGAGCAGGAAGCATTCATCCAGCCTGGATCTGGGTGACCTGCTCCCATTACCGCACACTAAGTAGTTGGGCTCTGCCTGTGACTGCATGAAGAAAAGAGGAGTCGGCTTTCTTTTTCCTGCCCTTTTTATGTAGCAGGATGCACAGTGAAACCCTTGATACAGGCTTAGGATTTTTATTACAGGCTTATAGGGAAAGAGACCTCAGGAGGCCATCTAAGTCTTCTCTTGGCCATTTTGCTGCTCTGCTCTGCTGAAGTCAGGACATCTGTCAGTTCAGAGTAACTGAAAGTTCAGTCTTTTCCTTTTCCAGCAGTGTTTCTCTTAAATACAAGAGAATATAGATGAGCCTCGCTAGGAGTTGGTTGGAGAAAAAGTGGAAAAGATTTTTCTTTTCCTTGTTTTGCGTAGGATTGGAGGGATCCAGGCCCAGGCCTGGCTGTAGAGAAGGACTGGAGAGGCAGTGTGGAAAGCCTGCCTCAAGTCAGGACTCACTATTGAGGCATGCTGGGGTAGTCAGGATAGCAGTGGGACAGAAAAACACTCCTCACCTTGCCCACCACCCTGCAACTGACCCTGTGAGCCCCCCGGTAGGAACACTCCACCAGCAGAAGACAATTCCTGCTGTTCAAAGTGGGGCTAGAACTGTGCTGAGGGGCAGGGAAATGCCTTTCGAGGTTCACTGCATCTGCTCTGGGAGGCTCCAGTGGCACAACCACACTGGTGAATTGCTCTAGCAGCTGAGGGCTTGAGGAGCAGGCCAGGGAGATGCTGCTCTCATGGGCTGCAGGCTGGCCAGCGTGTGCTATCCAAAACTGTTTGCAGTATCTCTTCCCAAATTTGCTAACCCAGAGTTGGAAATCATCTCTTTCCAGCCTATAGACTGTACATATAAACTCTTTTCTCAACATGAAAAATGCAATACAAATCCTATCGTTTCAGATCCGAGTTTTGTTGGGTTATATTGCTTGCAGGGACTACACAGTTTGGATTCAGCTAATCAAGTAGAAGTGTTTACAGAGCCTTCTGTGTGTCCTCAGGCTTGAGATGCTACCACAGGAGTAAAAGACAAAACTGGCTTTTCTATTTTTAGCAGCCAGCCTCTTCTAGGGTCGCCCCCTCTCATAAAAGCTCCCATCCATAGGCTTGTATGAATCTTCTTCACATAAGCTCGTATTTAGCTCACAGTTTCTCCTGTGTTTTCTTCAGAGGCTTCTTATCCAAGGGCTTGCACATACCTGAGCTGTTGCAGCAGCAGTCAGGTCCATAGTTTCTGGCCAGGAGGCTGAAATCAGACCCTGCCTCTTGAGACTCTGCATGATGCACAGCCAGTCCCTTCTGGGAATGACCCTCTGTGTTCCTGGGAAGTTATCCCTAATGAGGCCATCAGATACCCGAGCCACAGAAGTGAGATAAATACCTCGCTAAGGCGATTTGAAAGCCTGTGCTGCAGCATGATGATGCAGAGACTTAATGAAGTTGCTGTTGTCACAGGGCCCAGGGACTCAGGCAGTCGCTTCCAATCAATGCTCAGAGGTTAATTACACATTTACCTGAGCAGCAGCCTGAAATCCTCACCAAGAAATTAGGAGTGGGGGTGACTGCGTTGCTTTGGCACCTACAAGTGTAAGCTCCACCAGAGAAGCATGCTGATCTACATATCCCATAGCTGCTGGGCCTTTACAAGCTGTTTGCTGAGATTTGGGGATGGTCTGGTCCCAGAAATTGGTTCTAGTTTGCCATCAAAGTCAGAACTGCAGTAGTTTCAGAGCCAAAAAGGAGGGAATAAAGCTTTCTGTCCCTTGCTCCTGCATCCTGCTCCTTACCTTTCAGCTGAAGTCATCCTGATTGTTCCTTCTGTGGTGGTTCGGAGCCACTGAGATGCCCACAGGGCCAGTGGGGGTGAATTCACCCTTTTTTAATCCATAGCTTTTAATTAAGTTTTTAAGGAGTCCAGCTCATCCCAATTAGTGGAGGGTGAGTGCATTTGTTCCCTTGCAGAGTGGGAGAGCGGGCGCTGTGTTTGCAGGACCATCTGCTCATGAATCCTTAAAAAAACCTGGGAGAGGAAAACAAGCGTTAGCTGGAGGCAGAGGAAGAGTGAGGGCATCCTGGCAGCCGGCTGCGGGAGCCAGGCTGGTCCTCACAGCTTCTGGGAGATGGGGAGCTCTAATGAGCTATGGGAGAAGGGACTGGAACCGCCTGAACGAGTGGGAATAGGCAGCAATCTGGAGGGATGAGTTCTGGCAGCCACATGGGTGAGGGAATTGATAGCCCAGTGTCGATGACTTTGGGATTTCAGGAGGGGACGTGCCCTGGGATGCTGTTCTGAAGGGAGCGGGTGCAGGGAATTTGTTACCCTGAGTACAAAGTGGCTCTGCTGTGGGCAGGAGGAAGGGGCTTTGCTCTCAGGATACCACCAGCACCTGCAGCAACTTCCAGGGTCTGGGGTAGCTGGAGAGGAGGGAGCAGGGACAGTATCTGAAGCAGCCCTTTCGTCATTGCACTGTGAACCATAATGACCATGCTTTGAGTATCCACACTTCCTTCGGAAGTATCCCTTGTCTCCAGTTTCTGGCCTGAAGTCAGACAGGGGGTGGCTTTGAGAGCTTCAGAAGGGCCAAAATCTCATTTAATTGTTGCTTCTCCCCATGCTGCAAAGAGAACCATGTCCTCTGCCCTGGCTGGGAGCAGAGCTTCACTCGGCCTCCTTCTCTGTGCCCTCCAGGGAGACGATATCTTGGACCGCAGCTCAGAGTTGATCTACACGGGGGAGATGTCCTGGATTTACCAGCCTTATGGACGGAACCAGCAGCGTGTTTTCTTTCTCTTTGATCACCAGTTGGTTCTCTGCAAGAAGGTAAGGACATCCAGGAGGGAAGCAGCACAGCTAGGGACATACTGTGGACAGGCTTTCCAGTCCAAAGTGGTTTGTAGAGCAAGGTGGCTGTTTGCTTCACGTGCAGAAGAGGACATGGATGGCACTGAGGAGGGGCAATCCACATGCTAGAGATACTGAGTTACAGGATGGTGAGTATACTGTGATAGAGAGATTTTTATGCTCCTAGCAAATCCAGCCTCCACTTGTTCATTTCATGCCTTTTTCTCATGCACCCCTTGTTTGGCTCATTGCCTCACTTCTAGTTTGAAGTTTTGGTTGCTGTATATGATTTGGGAGTTGATAGCCCTGGAATTTCTGTATGAACGATGATGCCTGGCTCTTGGGCAGACAGCTCAATTACTGCATCAAATGGTAATTGCTGCCTCTCAAAGAAGTCTCAGGCAGCAGCCTGGTCCGTGGCAGGGTGTGTGTGCTGTCACTTGGTGAGATGCATTTTAAAGCTCATGTAGCTGCTGTGCTGGATTTTACAGGGCATATCTCTGCCATGAAGGCAGAGGAAGGTAGTGAGGAATGCTGATGCTAATGTGGTATAGTATTAATAGCAGCAGGTGAACTGTTTGGGAGCAGCTGTGTTAAACAGCAGCATCACAGCTGTACTGCTGTAGTCCTGCTAAGGTGATCTCAGCTAATTACTATCACAGGTGTATGACGTGAAGTGACAGAGCCCATAAGCCCTGGGTGCCTCTGACCAGGATTCACTGACATTCCCACTGCAGCCCTGCAGATAACAGAGCTGAGGGAGTCCCCTGGCCCGGCTTCAAGTGGGAGTGAGGGTGAGCTGCGGGCAAACGCACCGGGGCCGTGTTCCTGTCACATCTCATCCGCTACGGACAGGTTGAGACCGAGCCGGGCGCATGGCAGCCCCTGGAGGAGAGCTGTGTCCCGCAGGAAGCAGCGTGGGCCGGGATGTGGGAGGCTCCTGACTCACGGCAGCATCACTGCCCGCTGCCGCGGTGTGCGGTGCCGCGGCCAGTGCGCTTCAGTGGGTGGCACTTTCTGCTCCTGAGTCATGCTTGACTGAAGTCTCGCCTTCTGGAATGCGGGTGCTTGTTTTTCCCTTCTCGTTGCCTTTTGCTTCTTTCCTGGCTCTGTGAAAACAAAACCAGCCATAGAGCAACACTGGCCAAGTCAGATGCTCAGAGCATTGTCACAATGAGCCTGGCAGCATGCAGCTGGGGTTAGTTTTTAATCCTGACCTCCTACACTTTGTCACCCTGAATTTCCAGTTCCTAAGGCAGCATCCAGTTGGGTCTGATCCAGAGAGGTATTGAATGTTCCCTTACCTCCCACTAAAATCAGAGCTGGGATTTCCATGGTCATCAGTATGACTGGAGAGTGTTCAGCAAGTCCCAGCAGCCTGCTCGGGCTCAGGAGGTTTTGCCTGTATGCAGACAGTTTTGGTGTAACACTGTCCTCTTCCCTTATTCAAAAGGCATGTGGTGGGGTGTGTGCGACAGGGCAGAGGGTGGTGCCCACCTGGTGAGCCTGATATGAGGGCATATGGTTCATACCTTGTAGTAGGTTCTCCTGTGTCTCTTTTTCCAGCATCAAACTGCAGTTGTTACTTTTCAGTGCTGGGGTACGAGGGAGATGGGGTTGCAGCTGGATTTTTCCATCTTGATAATGTTTTCTGTGGACATCATTAAGGAAGATTGTCTGAGCATGGAATCCAGAGGAGTGTGAGCTCACATTCTGGGATCACACATCCTGTATAAAAGACATCTGAATGATTTATAGCCTCTGCTGTCTCGATCCTTGTGTCAGGCTTTGCTGTTACAGATCCCAGCAGGCAGCCATCTAGCAGGATAACCTCTGCTTTAGAGCCAGAGCACTGTATCCCAGGGCTTTCTCTGGGAAGCACTTTTTATATCATGATGCAGGAATCCTTCCTTACCCCATGCTTTAATGTTACTCTACATATGAAATATGCCCTGCACATCCCCAGGGACCAGGTCCACAGGGATCCTGGCCAAGGATGGGCAGAGCACCATGTCCTGGGACACTTGCAGCACAGCCTGGTACCAGGCACAGGAATTCAGGTGTTTGTGCATGGCCCGAGCTCAGTGCTTTGATGTCCCACTTCAGCAAACCCTCAGGGAGCTGGAGTTGTGTGAGTCCAGAAGGGAATGTTTGAGATTTCCAGAAGGTCTCAGAGCTCAGGCTGGCCCAGGGCTGCCTCCTCCCCTGCCTCCTGTACAGGGAGAATTAAATCCTTTAGAGGTTTCCAAAGCAGGATCTGACCTCCAGGCACAGGCAGTGGGAAATTCATGGACAACCTGACCTGTTTTGCATGAGGTTTGTTTAGTCAATGAGTCTGATCAACATACCTAGCTTTGGGACCACTCAGAATGGACACCTCAGTGGATCCTCCTCTTCAGAACATCTGCATGTGTGGGTTTGCTTCAGATACAGTAAATTAATAGGTGTGATACATCCTCAATCGTGCTGCAGTCTATTTGAGAATAGGTTTGGTTTTGAAGTATAATGCTTGAATTTTACCTGTTTGTTGGTCAAAAGAAATTTGTAATAGAAGTAAGGAACTAAACCCAGATCCTTAGTTAAATATATCACAGATAATTTAGTTTGATGGGAGTGTGTTAGGTACCCTGAGAGCATCTAGAAGACAAGCATTTATTTCAAACACCTCCCACTCCTCCATCTCTTCATTGCAGTTACCTGCACATCATCCTTACCTCCACAACCTGTTGTCTCCCTGGTACGTGTCTGCACTGCGGCAGCTCTGTGCTGTTGAATCCCCTAGTAATACACATGGATTCTGTGGCAGACACTTGATTACATGAGTTGCTGGTGGACCAGATCCTGATCTTTGTGGGTTGAAATCACCCCTTGTATCCTGTTGCTCATTCATCTCCTAAAGGTGATCCGGACTCAGCAGATGGGTGGGATGGACTGAGAGCTACTGGTGGAGCAGCTTCTCCGTGTCCATGTTTTCTTCCCACTGGCTGCATCTCCTAGGATTTTGCCAAGGGTTTTTGCAGTGTGAACTGAGCCAAGGGCCTGTCTTTGCAAATGGGCTTACGGGCAGCTGGTGGTTACCGGGTTCATGGTTTGTTCGCATGCAGAGGGCTGGATATTAGGATAGTCGTTAACATGTGACGGTCTTGAACCTTGTGACTGTATTGATGTGACTATGATGAACCAGTCACTGATGCAGTTCAGCTGTCAGGAAGGGTGTGATGCACCGCTCAGATCCAGCCATCCCTGGTTGCCAGTGGAAGTTCTGCTGCCTCAGACTGAGAAATTCCGAATGCATTTCCATGGCCACCACGTCTGGGAGAACTGACAGGACTTCAGACCTAGTTTGTGAAAATGAGTAATTATAAAGGGCCGCATTCAAATGGGCTGACAGATGTTACTGCTGCCAGAAGAGGTGTATTTATGTCTCTCTTCCAAGCAGGAAACTTGCACTGAGGTTTACGAGGGCTGCATGAAGAGCAGTGGCAGCAGGTGGGGAAGCTGACATTACAGCAGGCAGCTCTCCTCAGTGGCAGCCAGCTTCTAGGGGGAGAATTTCATATATCAAAATGATTTCAGAGCTTTACAGATCTCTTTGGTTAGACTTTGCCATTGGAGACAGCGCTGGTTCCCTCTCAGTGTCACCACCAAGTGAGTTTAATAACATGAAATGGTCATGTCAACCATTTCAGTCTCTAATAAAGTGAATGCTGAAATAGCAGAGGGTGCAGGTAGGTTCTGCAGATCATTCCCAGACCCTGGCTCAGAAGGGGAGTACTGAGCTGGTTTGGATATCTGCAGTCCCTGATAAAGAGCCACTGGGAGAGCTCATGATTTAGATCTTTGCAAAGCTGGGGAACTTTTAGCTATTGGATTAATGTCAGGCTCTGCTAATGAATTTTCTGCCTGTGTTTTGTGAGCCAGAGCTGGGACGTTGCAGTGTGCCTGAGGACAGAGTGGTGCTCTCTTCAAGAGAGGCCGTCACTTGGTTACCCTAATGCAAAAGTGCCTTTCAGAAAGGAAGGGAATAAACTGTGTAGGAAGCAAGCACTGGCCTCAGCTTGACTTAACCATATGTCTATAATCAGGAAAGAATAATACATATTCCAGTATGCTAACCATAATTACCAAGATATTAAGTCAAACCTTGATGATGGTAGCATTAAAAGCTGTTGCCTTAAAGGCACAGGGTCTACTTTTCTTATCACCCTCAAGTTGAGAGAGTTTGACACAGGCATGCTTTAAATTAGCAAATCACAGTACTTCACTTCCAGGCCTGTGACACACAGCATTAATTCTGATCGTGGCTTGTTATGCCGGGGGATGCTCGAGGTGCACATCATGGAATAGATGAGGATCTTCCTTTTTCTCTTCTTGGATAATAGTTTGGATTTTCCAATGGGCTCAAGAGCTCTGTGGCATTGAGGCTGGAAATGACAGTATGAAGTATGAGGAGTTAACAGAGTTTCTGCACCAAATGATGCTTTTCTTTCACGAGTGGTGGAACAGCCCTTGATGGGGCTCCGTGTTTAGTGTTTGCTGACAGCACAGGAAGATCAGTGACTGTATGAAACACATTTAGTTTTCATTTTCAGTTTTTATGTGTCTCTTGTAATCAAAAGGCAGTGCAAACTCCAGCTTGTGGTTTATTGCTATTGCTGTCTTCCCTTGAGCTCTGGGAGCAAAGCAGGTTGGATGAGAAGCAAAATGAGAGCAGTTTAATAGCAGTCGCCAGACAGTCAGCCAGAAATAGCACTGCTATAGGAGAGAGAGTAAATAAAATAATCCTGTCAAACCCCACTGCAGTTCAGGTTTCCAAATGGGAAGATAAAAGAGACATTTCTGAGCCCTTTTAGTCTACTTCCCATATTGCTTCTGTTCAAAATATGGGGGGATCTTTGCACCAAAACAACAGCCCTGCTTTTAGTACAGGCTAAATAGGTCTTTCGGGGCCAGCTGAGAGTCTTGTTTGCAAACACTGA